GAGCCCTCAACCGAGACCTCAAGTGGGAGTTTTCTCCCAGCAAGAGCTTGCGGGTTTGTGTCTGTGCAAACTGTTTGTTTACACGCTGGAGTTGTTAGCGGAATTAGATTCACAGCAGTGTGTCTCTTCCCCTTTCTTACTGTTAGGTTGGCAGTCACATCACAGGGGGAGACATCTATGGCATGGTGTTGGAGAACTCCCTCATCAAGCACAAGATCATGCTGCCCCCCAGGAACAGAGGCACCGTGACTTACGTGGCTCCTCCTGGGAACTATGATGTCACCGTGAGCTCAACACGCCTCCAGCTACAGCTCTGCTAAAACCCAAGTGACTTTTAGATGTTGCTTTGTTTTTAATGTCTGTGTGTGTGTGTCTGTGTTAGGACGTGGTGATGGAGCTGGAGTTTGAGGGGGTGAAGGAGAAGTTCACCATGGTGCAGGTGTGGCCTGTCAGACAAGTTCGGCCTGTTACAGAGAAGCTGCCTGCCAATCACCCGCTGCTGACCGGACAGAGAGTGCTGGACGCCCTTTTCCCGTGAGTCCTACATTCACCTTTTTAATCATTTTACTCAAAACATGTTAAGAAGGACATTTTTTATGTCTCTGAAGCTATTTTGACTTTTTTTTTTTCTGTTTCCTATGTGAAGATGTGTGCAAGGAGGTACCACAGCCATCCCAGGAGCCTTCGGTTGTGGTAAGACTGTCATCTCCCAGTCCCTGTCCAAGTACTCCAACAGTGATGTGATCATTTACGTGGGCTGTGGGGAGCGTGGTAACGAAATGTCAGAAGTACTGCGAGACTTCCCCGAGGTGAGTAGTGACACCAATCACTGCTGATACTGATCAGAGCGACTTTCAGGGTAACTGACATTGTGAGTGTGTTCTGGCCGACAGCTGACCATGGAGGTGGGTGGAAAGACGGAGAGCATCATGAAGAGAACGGCGCTAGTGGCCAACACCTCCAACATGCCTGTAGCTGCCAGAGAAGCCTCCATCTACACAGGTAAAAGCAAAAACATTTTATTCTGTGATCGCTTGTATATTAGCTGAGTCTTGTGCACTGACTGGTTTTGTTTCGGCAGGAATCACGCTGTCTGAGTACTTCAGAGACATGGGATACAATGTGAGCATGATGGCCGACTCCACCTCTCGTTGGGCCGAGGCTCTCAGGGAGATTTCTGGCCGTCTGGCTGAGATGCCTGCTGGTAAGTTTGGAGTCTGCTGGAGTTTGTAAAAAGCAGTTTCACGCTTCAGTAATAAATTCTTGGCAATGGAAATTAAAAAAACCTTCTCATGACATCAGGTGGTAGATTCAGGTACAGCATCAGACTCAAACTGTATTACAAAATACTAGAAAATTATTTTGCGTAAATCACATGTTTTTTTAATGGCTGGCTTCTGCTTTATAAAAGGAAGTGACTGTGACTATTCACAATGTGTTTTGCTGGTTCTATAAAGAACCACACTATCGTTTCCTTCTTTGACTTCTCATATCAGTGTGAGAAGGAACAACCTTTTTTAAGTAAATGATTCAAGACTTCTAAGTTTTTGTTTGTTGCTTATTATAAGTGTAAACCTTTTAATTAGACCATCAAATAGCACAAGGTTGTACAATCTAACTGTAGCTGAAATGATTAAACCAATAAGAAATCAGCAACAATTCATAGTGCAAATTTCAGTTTCTCGAGTGTTTATAGGACATACGTCCAATTTATTTGTAGTTATTTATTTTACAATTAATAGGTTAAACCATTCATCAGATTAATCTCTTGTAAAGATGATCATAAATTGCAGCTCTACTGCTACCTGGGAATTTAATATGCTGCAATGAACTGTGTATTGAAAGTAAGTTTGGTGATGCAGTGTTTAGTTGTTTTACCTCTGTGAAGCAGATTTGTCAGTTGTGTTGTGTATAAAAATCAGTTATTTTTTAATCTGCCCACAGACAGTGGTTATCCTGCCTACCTTGGTGCTCGTCTCGCCTCCTTCTATGAGCGTGCCGGCAGGGTGAAGTGTCTGGGCAACCCAGAGAGAGAGGGCAGCGTCAGTATCGTAGGAGCGTGAGTACAGCGTTACATCAGTAGAGGGAGACATACATGCACATGCTTTGTTGACTGTATTTGGAGGACAACAGTTAAATGAAAATGTTTTCTGTCCTCAGTGTTTCACCTCCTGGTGGTGACTTCTCTGACCCTGTCACTTCAGCCACACTCGGTATTGTACAGGTAAATAATCACACTCTGATCTCACTGTCACTTGAACTAAGTAGCTCAGTTGTTTTCAGTATTCCAATGACTGTGCTCTCTCTCCTCTCAGGTGTTCTGGGGTCTGGATAAGAAGCTGGCACAGAGGAAGCACTTCCCTTCTGTCAACTGGCTGATCAGCTACAGCAAATACACCAGAGCTCTGGACGAGTATTACGACAAGCACTTCCCTGAATTTGTGCCCCTGCGTACCAAGGCCAAGGAAATCCTGCAGGAGGAGGAGGACCTGGCTGAGATTGTGCAGCTTGTTGGAAAGGTAATTCAGTGCTAAGTTGGTGGCAGCAGTTTGTTTTTAAATTAGACTTTCACATAATTTGCTTCAAAATAAGAAATTGATTGTGCATAAATATGACATTGTAAAGCAGCTGCTGACGTGATCACGACTTTAATTTAACAGGCTTCACTTGCAGAAACGGATAAAATCACACTGGAAGTGGCCAAACTGATTAAAGATGACTTCTTGCAGCAGAACGGTTACACACCTTATGACAGGTAACATTACCTTTCGTCCTACCTTGACATTTTTCGAAGGAAGTGAACCATTTTTTTGTCACTGTAAATCTGATTAGTCCTAGACAGGTGTTTTTTAAAGCCTAAAATGTTTGACAGAATAACTGATTTCATCTCTTGACCACTGACGCTCTTACACGTCTCCTCAGGTTCTGTCCCTTCTATAAGACGGTGGGCATTCTCTCCAACACCATCGCTTTCTACGACATGGCGCGGCACGCGGTGGAGACCACAGCTCAGAGTGACAACAAGATCACCTGGGCCATGATCAAGGAGCACATGGGAGAAATCCTCTACAGGCTCAGCTCAATGAAATTCAAGGTGTGTGGGTGAATGAAGGGGTTCTCGGGTTGATTTTTAAGTTGCTAAAACTAAATTTATACAATAGAATAAACAATAACTGTGCAATGTTTATTTTTATTTATATATTTAATATATTCTTCCACATACCTCACCATGTCAAATGTTTTTAATATTGAATCTTTGTTACGCTAAAATTCTTTATTTTACTCTTTATTTGAGTCTCAAGGTAAAAAGGAAGATAATACAATGACATTTTAGGTAAATGTAACAATTATATATAAAGTGAACATGACGCAAAACTAAAAGTTAGAATGACTTTTCAAAACACAAGCAACTTATTGGATTGGAATGTAACAAGAACTCTGTCTTTACTCTGTCTTTATTTACGTGAACAATTAAGGTGTCACTGATGCTGTATATCTCTGGGAACATTTTGATCTTTTGCTGAGAAATTTTATGTGAGAATATTCTCTGCAATGCTTTGACTACAATAACCCCATCCCACAGTTTTTCCTTTTCATTTGTTAAACTAGGAAGCAATGTTCCTTACAAAAACAGAAACTAGCTCAGATAATCCCTGTCCTGTTCTACAGGAAAATATGCAAAATGTTGTATAAAAAACAAAGTAATAAGTTCTGACAATGTCAAGTCATTCTGTGCATCATTTTTTAACTCCCTTCCGACGCGAGGACCTTATGTTTGTGATAACACCGTGATAACGCAGCTCATAGTTAACACACCACAGTTGATACTAAAGATCCTGCCCAGCGTCATGTTTACTTCTCATGCTCTAAGAATGTGTTCCTACATCTGTACAGGACCCAGTGAAGGACGGCGAGCCGAAGATCAAGGCCGAGTTCGCTCAGCTGTTGGAGGACATGCAGAACGGTTTCCGTACATTGGAGGAATAGACTCCAGGGACCTCTCCGGTTCTCATCTCTGACCCCTCCACTGCAGAATCACATTCCGCAGAACCTGTGTGTGCTCCCCTGTGCTCCTCTGTGGGTGATTGTGTGAATGTGTGCACAATTTGATGTGGAGGGAGAAGAGAAAGAAGTACTGTATTCATTATTATTTGTTGCCTCATATTGGCTCACTCTGGATCCTCTGCATGGTCATAGATCATGTGAAAGTGTGTGTGTGGATTTAATGTGTGTTTGAATGAGGGACCTCTTCACCTTCTTTCTTCCTTCCTCTGTTGTTTACATGATTGCTGCCTGTGTAGCTGTGTTGCTCTTCCTGAAGAGGCGCGTTCAGTTGATGTGATGTAATTCATGGACCATCTGTACAGAAGAGTATTGAATATAAATTTAATGAGATCAGTCTATTTATTGCCAGCATTTGACGTGAAGGCTTTTAATGTTCTCTCTCTCTCTTTTTTTTTTTTTTTTTTTTGGTTTTATGGTTGTGTTTCATGCTGTTCTGTGTTGTGTACTTTACTGTGTGAATGTGTCGGACTCTGACGCTCTGCTGTTCAATGCTTTCATTGTGTTACTCCCAAAGAATTAAAACATGGGGAAATGATTTGTGTGTGTGTGTGTGTTGTGTTTGTTCACTGCTTTGACCTCATGGTTTCTAAAAATGCTGTGGAACTGGTCTTTCTGCATAACACTCCCCTGTTGAGATGCTTGATTAAAAATAAAATTCTTTTAATAACTGTTCCTTTTTAAAGGTCTGAGCTAATTTAAACATTTGCAATCATTAAAAGTAAAGATGTCCTGGTGTGGCTTTTAAATGTTTTTTATTTGTTAATAAAACTGATTAAATGAAAGGAAAAGCATCACAAGGCTGTCTTCCGTCACCTTACTTCTGAATAAAAAGTACTTATCTATAATTAGAATGATCCTAACCTTACCCTAACCCTCAGGGAGAGGTCATTTTTGGAGCCATTAGCCAGATGTATGAAGACCAATGAGCGCCAACAACGAGGTGACAACTCCCTTAAAAGTATGTTCCCCCGGTTTTGTGACATACACCTGCAGCTCACTTCACTCAGAGCTGTGAGGGACGAACAGTGTCTCTCGGTGGCTTCTTTGTCTCGGTCACACACACAGGAACTCCTGGGTCCGCTCCGTGCCAGGTAAGTCACTGACAAGCAGATTTGTTTTGGATCCTGCGCGTGTGGAGACTTGCCGAAGTTATTGCGCACCTGTGCGCGCATGGCACCGTGCGTAAAAGCGTTTTATAGACACGCTGGGCGTCTTTGCATGTCTGATATTATTTTTTAATCGAGTGTCCAGTCAGTTTCTATCACTGCGAGAACAAAATGAGAGATGTCTGCTCAGGGTCACTTTAGTTTTATACAGAGTTATGAATGGATTCTTCTGCTTTCCCATTGTAGCACTAATCTGTTCCTTTTTCGCGGTGTTTGTTTTTCATTGCGCACCACGGCTGTGCTCAATGAGAGTCATTAGTGCGCAAAGCTTCTTTTCATTTGTATGAGTAAACTCCCTGAGCAGTCGTCCCAGTCAAACCAGTTCTGCTGCAGTAATGACTATCCCTGCGGTGCTGCTGCTGGGTGTCTCTGTTTGATGACATGAGGTTCAGACAACGTGTTTTAACATAAACCCTTGAAATAATGGTCGAAACTGGTAAATCTGTAGCAGACTCTTGTCTCTATTTGGATGTGAGCAGTGCAGCAGAGCAGATGGACCAGGTATCCAACCGGTCAGGACTGGGCAGTGATGACATTGCATATGAGAGCATATCACTGGTGGATGTCAGGTGGAGCTCTGATGAAGATGAGGTAAACCAACTAAACTTCCCTGTGCCTGTTTACATTAAAACTGCTGCTGCTTCCTGGAATCATACATTTTTCTTGTATGTGACATTTAAACAATTCACTTCATTCACTCAGTTCCAGTGGAAGTAATGATAAACAATGAAATGGAAAAACGTTTCACTGCCATCTTGTGGCTCAGCTTCATTATGCCTTCACCTCATACAAGTGGGATTGTTGCAAAACCCAGAAGACTAATGATGCTGTTTATCATCCAAACAAACTAATTTCCTCAGTCTCACTTTGTCCGTTTGCCTCCCTCTGGTCTCCAGTCAGGTGTTGTGCACATGCTTATCAGTCAATCTTGTCCTCTGCACAAAGACAGAACAAATCCTTTCAGCTTCTAAGGTCTATGTCTTGGTGTCAGTAATGTTTCCCTTCTCGTCCATCAGAGCTCTGACTTTCAGGGACAGTGTCTCGCTGCACCTCAGACTCCTCTGCCGACCTACAAGCAGAGATATGATGAGTTTAAGAAGCTGTTCAAAGAGCTGCCAGAGTCGGAGAGACTCATAGTGGGTGAGTTCTGTGATGTCTCTTCTGATGGTGTTACCACTTAATCCAGATATTAATGTCATCGTTTAACATGGAGCTACTTTGAATTGTCATGAAAATACAAAGTGTTCATATATTATTCTAAATGTTGCACTAGTTTGGGTGGAATCACTTTTAGATGAATGTGAAATTTGACATCTAGGATCCAGTTCTATAAAAATATATATTTGGAAAATATTTATACAACGTGGCCCTGCAGTGCAAATCACAAGAAAAATCGTGACAGCAAATAATAAAACAAAGCGGCAAACAAAACAAAAGACAAACAAGAAAACCCAATAGATATATAAAAAACAACAACAAATCAAAAAAAGACACCAGCAAATTAGAAAACACAAATGGAAAAGGTCGGTACCTGCTCTCAAAAAGGCTTGTCACTGATTTTATTTTTTAAACAGAAATGAGACGTGATTTGTTATTTGTGTTTTGCACTTCAGGGCCACTGTACTTTGGTATTAATGCTCAGTATTAATCACAATTGTTACATGTGAGTTTTTTGTGTCATTAAATAGCTAAATATCTGCTGTGAAAAAAAATATATATATGCTCAAGGCCTATTAAAAAAAATACCTCTTTACTAATTAATCCAGTGCTCAAAATAAACAGTCACATTTCATCTGTACACACACACAAGAATACGGCACAATATCTCACTGCACCGAGCTGTTTTTATAAATAGTGTGTCGTGCGTCACCTCAGGCACACTCATCTATATTAATGATTCACCAGCTTCACATATATTTCTCCTCAGACTACCCATGTGCCCTCCAGCGGGACATCCTCCTTCAGGGACGCCTCTACCTGTCAGAGAAGTGGCTCTGTTTCTACAGCAATGTGTTTCGGGGCACCAAGGTAATGATCAGACGGGGTGGGAGACGGAGGGAGGAGGTGTGTGGTCGAGTATCACACATCCATGTAACATGTGGATAAAGCAACCAAACACATAAATGTATGAGTTCATATTATTCTATGCATTCATCTTCTTTACTGGAATATATACGTTTCAATGATAATAGTTTGTTTCAGTGGCCCTATTGTGTTATCCTATTTATTTGTCATTGTGTTATTATATTTACGGTTTTGATTTGCACTTCAGAGCCACCGTAGTTCACTACCTTTTCTTAAATTTACACAAGGCTTTACTCCCACATTGTACTTGCACGAAGTTTAGGAGAATCACACAGGATATTGGAGCCTTATTAAAAGGACAAATCCACAGTAAAGCAGTGGATAAAACAGAGATAAAAAATGTTTTTCAGCTCCTTTTGACTGGATGCTGCATAATAAACTGCATAATGATGAACTGATTAAATCTAAAGCGCATGTATTTCAGGTGTTTGTGTCAGATCTGTAAGATGCAACATTTTGCAATCGTGTGCAATGAATTACAGGACTAACAGAGCCCAGATACTAAAGGAAAAATAACAGTGAGGATTCACTAATTGCTCCACTTGAGACAGCCTCAGTCAGCCACACAGTACAGCGTCAGATCGACCCGCTGCTGTGAGCACCTCACACCTCCTCACACGAGTCGTTACGAGATGTGATCACAAATAAATCCAGTGTAGAAGGCTGCGTCTGACAGTGTGATGCAGTTGGATTTTTCCTCTTTGATTTGCACACGTTGTGACCTTTGACCTCTGATAGATCACGCTGACCCTGAAAGACATCACGTCGATGAGCCGAGAGAAAACGGCACGGCTGATTCCCAATGCAATCCAGATCTGCATGGGCACAGAGAAGGTATATATAGTGTTGGAAAAGAGTCAAAAGCAGGTGTTACGTGACAAGCACATGATTTATTACCATTTTCTCTTTACGTCTTCACCCTCAGTTCTTCCTCACCTCCTTCTCGGCGAGAGAGAAAAGCTACCAGACTGTTTTCCGCATGTGGCAGAACACACTGCTGGACAAGGTAAAGCAGCCGGCACGTCTGTGACTTTAACCCAGTTTCCTGCTGCACTTATCTGATGTGTCCAGAGTACACATCACTCTGACAGTCTGTCTGACTGAGAGGTTATCACTCTGCTGTTGGTCAGAGGGTAAAGATCTGCCCGCAGCAGCAGCAGCAGCTGCAGGGTTTGCTCATGGGTTCGAAGGACACAAGCTTGTATTTACTGTTCAACATATGGTGCTTTGTATTTGGATGAATTCACCTTCATGTATAACAGGGATTCAGTCAAAAATGAATATTAGCTCTGCCACCTTTTACAGATAGGAAAAAATAATCCGGTGAGAGCACTTTGAAACTGTAACCTGGAGCAAACACCGTAAATATGTTGAAACGTGAGGACATGTTAATTGCAAGTGAAAGCTGGTTTGACAGTTCCCTATAGGACTCTGAGACGTCAGCTTGAATGTGAAGCAGTGGACGTAGCGGAGGAGTTAAAGACCTGAAATGAGGCCAACGTGAAGAGCAGGATATGAAAACAGTTCAAATATCAGCTGCAGAGTAAAGAAGTGAAAGCAGCTGTCACTTGTTACGTGGTTGAGGAGTTGAAAACAAACTTGGACTCATCAAAACAGTAAAACGTCAATTAAAGCATGAATGCTGAAATCATTTGAAAAATTTGGTGACAGATTTAAGCCATAGACTATAAATAAGGATGAGTGACGCTTCTCTATTACCCAGAAATGAAGCCAAAATATCTCAAACGCCGTCATCTTGTGCATTTGGAGCCAGAATCTGCACAGTAGCGATCAGGGGATGGAGCCACAATAGAGAGGTCCCACAACCAATCCAAAATATATTAAACAAATACTTTGACTTTTTATGTTAGCCCATGTCCCATCTGCTAACATGGAGCAGGCAGCATCTACACACTGCAGCCAGGGAAGTTGAGTTGGCAGGATTTAAAACTACTGGACGGATAAACACGAAACTTAGTCGGAAAAATGTGAGCAGGGAAAAACCAATTAAACATTTTTTGCAGATCTGAATCAGGATCCAGGATTTTTCCAGAATGTTTCTCATCTGAACATGTTTGATGAGTGTGTGCAGAAATATAAATCTGCATCTAGTGAATTTAAAGTTTCACAAGGAGACTGTGAAGTGTCAAATGAAACCACAATCTCAGGATAAACATCTGTAGTTTTGAGAATTGTTATTCAAGACTTTGCACTGTTGTCTGGGTAATTGCAGAGGCTACACTATAGAAATATGAGATGGCATGATGATCCTTTTTAAGAGAAGGGAAACATCGCAGCTTGGTGTCTTTTTTGCTTCTATTTGGATCATAAACTAGAGGCAGTCATTATCCCTCTGTAGCAGCAGCAGCCTCCCCACAGGGAAGCGTGTCTGCTGGGATTCGGAGCACAAACACCTTCGGGCCTGTAACAACAGCAGTGCTTAAAGTTCATTGACCTGCAGGTGTGGCAACGGGGCCCTGTTTTGCAAGGAGGAGGAGGAGGAGGGGGAGCAGGAGAGGACGCGCCTCCAAAACCAAAAGACGCACGGTGCGCACTTGAGTCTTTACAGAAGTGAAACCAGCTGATTGGCAGTAACCTTCACCGTGCAGCTCACCTCACCGTGAACCGGACTTTCGACAGGTTGAACGGGCACTTTTATCTCTGTGTGGAAAAAAAATAAAAAAATAAATCGGGGGCGGCGCGTGTTTGCAGCTCGAACCAGCAAGAGAGGAGGAGGACTTCCTGGATGTGAGTGAGTTCAGGTTAGAGATCAGTACGTGACGGCTGCTTCAACTTCACAGCCACGGGAACATGTCCACCGACAAGTAAGTGAAGCCCGTGGAAATGGATGCCACTCTTGGTTATTGTTATCCATATGGTGTAAAACTTCTTAATAATACTGCAATAATAGAGACTGTTCATGTTTCCTGTTATTGGAGCAGGAGACTTGTTTTTGTGTCAACACTGAATATTTCCTCTCGACACATGTGCCTCCAGATGTTTTTATTTTATCCTATTGTGTATGATAAATATATTTCATATAACTAATTTGTTGTTTCTGGTGAGATTGAGCTTCTCTTGTCCTGTCTAAACACAAAAATGTCAGATGCGTATCCAAGCCTTTCAGTGGGACAATGTTTGGAAGTTGGTTGTCACGCACGGAGATAAGATTAGATTTTACTGAGTGGATGTTTCCTGGTTACGCACAACCATGTGTTTTTGTCTTCACGTTACGGTTTTATGTTTCTGCGGGAGCTCACTTCCTAACCAGCCTCTTGTCCGATGCCTCTGTGCCCTCATGACCTCTTCTCCTTTTCCATTTCAGCCTCTGACCTGCTTGGAGTTTTTGCAGATGGTGAAACAGCATTATGGGCATGACCTGGGCCTGAGCCATGAAGATATGGAGAGCTTGCAGATAGCGTCGGAATCGAACATGCAGACCAGGTGAGCGCGCTGCAGCCTCCCCATGATTACACACAATGATAATGTGATGGAAATGTATATTTTTGACACCACCTTTGCCTGCAGCCTGACCGCGAGGCCCGGTGGGGAAGATGGAATCGGGAGGTTTGAGCGGCCCCCCTCCCTTCGCCTGCCTTCACTGGAGCATGGGCCCTTAGACACCTCCACCCCTCAGGGGGAGGAGATGCCTTCAATTATTGGCTCCCAGAATTCAGCAAACACGGTATTTAAAGCAGCATATTCCTCTTTTGTGTGTCTTGTGCAAGTCTAAATGTTTCAACAGCTCAACTTTTAAATATTTCTCTCCTGTAGGATGACTCTCGGAACACACCGTCCCAGCGCCGCAGCCCTGCTCCCTCACTGGACCGCCTGGTGCCAGAACGGACCTCCAAGCGCTCCTCGCTGTCCCTTGACCTCAACGCCAACGAGAACGGTGCTTCTGAGCAGAGCTGTTCAGAGAGCATCGAGGAAGGTTAGAAAGAAACACAACCCCAGGCGCTGGAGGATATTTGAGTGCATGCATTTTCTGATATTTCAATAATTTTCTCTTGATTTATCAGTGGAGGAGCGAGTGGGTCTGACCCAGGTTCAGGGTCGACTCAATTTAAACAAGGTCTTCCACATGAGCGCCAAGAAATTGTTCGAGCTGATCTTCACCGACTCCAGCTTCATCCGCAGGTTTATGAACGTCAGGAAGATAACAAGTAAGACTCATTCCCTTCTGCCTGTCCAGAAATCGAATTCCCTCTCCAGTTCCACCTAATCGAAGCTGCCACATTCGGCCTTTCGTGCTTTCAGATCCGACCTTCTCCACCTGGCAAAGAGACGCCTCGGGAAACCTGAAGAGGAGCCTGAACTACACAGTTACCATCAGCAACCCTCTGATTGGCAAGTTCTCCACGGCCACAGAGAACCAGGTGTGTTAACGTCGGTGTGAATGGTGAATGCAGGCTTGAACGAATGAAAAAACACGTTCCTGTGTGAATTATCTCTCACCGTCGTCCTCCATTTATCTTCCAGACGCTGTACAAAGAATTCAGGGATGGTCAGCATTACCTCGTGGACTGTGAGGTGTACACTCATGACGTTCCCTATCACGATTACTTCTACACTCACAACAGATACTGCATCAAGAGTAGCTCGAAGCGGAAGTGCCGTCTAAGGTGAGGTATTCTGTAATTGATCTGGTGATTTAAAAAAAAAAAAAAAAAATTCTATATGCCCAGCTTTTAAAACTCATATTGTGTTTCCAGCATTTACACTGATGTGAAGTATAAGAAGCAGCCGTGGGGCCTGGTCAAGTCCTTCATCACTAAAAACTCCTGGAGCGGCATAGAAGATTATTTCAGACAGCTTGGTGAGGAGAAAGCTCCCCTCGCTCACTGTGGAGAGCACTTCCTTGTCTTCTTTCATTAGCTGGCTCTGCTGCCGTGCAACGTATTACAACTGCGTTTTCAAGTACACAGAAAGAGCATGACAGTCATCTGACACCATAAAAGGGAATATAACAAGCATTACTGCCCGAAGCACACTGGAGCTGCTGTTATCAGTAAAGCCTGAACAGGAAACCTTCATGAATAACGTACATCTGAAGTTTTTTAAAATTTGTTTATAGTCATCGAGAATTGAGAAAACAGTGTCTAAGTGTATGGATTTCTTTCTGGCTTTGCAACCATGTGGTGTTTTGATATAATTAACGCACCCAATTCTGTCATATTATTGTGATTTCACATATTTCCCGTGTGATGACATAAAACAGAAGCGGAGCTGCTGGAGGAGGAAGCCGAGCTGAATCAGGGAGGCGGCGACTCAGGGAAGATTGGTGGGCTGCGTAGGAGGAGGAGGACGTACAGCCGGACTCTGCCGGAGCACATGAAGCCCAACAAGCAGTATGGACAAGATCCAGAGCAGCACAGAGATGGCAACATGGGTATATGACTTATTTTAATAGTCAATTTGAAGGAGCCATGAACAGGAAATGTGCATATTTGCTGACTTGGCAAAATGTGGAGGAAAAGATTGATAACTCTTGTACGTCTCTAAGTTATAAAGCAGTTGTTCTGACTTTGGAGTGTTCGTGTGCTTTGACGTCAGAACATGGGACGCGTTTAAACGTCACCTCTTTCCAATATTTGCATAATAAATACGAGCAAAGCAGGAGGATCAGGTGTGACAGGCATATGAATACTTTAAATTGTTAATCATAGAAAGGTTTAGAAACAGTTTAGCAAATGTAAATTTTAAACTTTGGACCAACTTTCCTCCATGTGACTGCAGTAAACTATGGACAAATGAAGAACAATTATCACAGTTGCTCCTACCACAACAACAAATACTCAAAGTGTTGAAAGCAAAGGTGCAACTGCTGAAAATCACAGATCTCCCCATCGCACGTCACTGTCTTATCTGGTCCCATTCTGTGACACACCCAGACAACTACAATGTTTCTATCTCAAGCTGTTCTTGAACACCAACTGGCAAAATGTTGCACACCAGACCTTCTCTTCTTGTCTGGAGCTGGGTCTTTGTTTTCAAACTGCAGCATTTAAGGAAGAATATCTCTCATTTTATTTATTTGTCCGATTGTGTTCCAGGCCCCATGGAAATGAAAGGGTCGGGCGGGTGGAACACAACAACCATAGTAGCTGCGATGAGTCTGATGTGAGTAAACAACATGGAAACATGTGAAACAACGTGGGTATGACAAATGTTTTTTGTAGCTGAGAACTGTCTGTGTATATGCGACGCAGAATCTGAAACCATATCATATCTAAAGGTTGTGTAAGGTCATGTCTGGTGTTGGTGCTTCTCTGCTGTTGTGCACACCAGTATTCACTTCAATCCCAATTCTTTCCATCTCTTCCAGTTTGTTTATTCTGACGCTGCTGAATCTGTGCCTGTTTTTCAAGCTGTGGGCCATGGAGGATGTAGCCCACCGCATATACCTGAGCACAAAGCATCGTCTGAGGGAGAGGAGCGAGGCCAGGTCAGATAACTTTGCACTGTAGCAGTTGTCCTGGTATGTGGGTGGAGAGGGGGAAGGAGTTCGTTCCTCCTTTTTTTGTGTGGTTGTCATTGTCGTTGCCTTTAAGTGCTACACATACAAGTGAGCTCTTGTACAGACAACTTGCAATGTTTAAACCAGCCTCAGTCAATGTGTGTGTGGTTACGTAAGTGTCACAGTCTTGCATCAGCGCTCCTCTACTCTTGACCTTCTACTTTATTTCTGTTTCTGTGTCTTCTGCCAGCCTTTGTGCAGCAAAAGTAAATACCTCACCTCATCATAATAACTGACCTCTCTTACCTTGTTTGACAGCTTGGTCCAGGGACCTGTGCACAGAACCAGAGACGAGATGCACCTCCTGAAGAATGTACTGCAGGACTCCATCAACCTTTTACAGCAGGTGGGTCCGAGCAAGAACTGAAATGAGTGGAGTTAAAATACAGTTATATCACATGTCATCTTCTTTACTTGTGTACTTGAAATACAGTATTTTACATGTTTTTCTCTGCGTTTGTTTGATAGTTAGCAGTTTTTTTTAAATCTTTCTTCAACATTGGTAAAATATTTTCATTAATTGCGAAGATTCAAGATTCAAGGGTTTATTGTCATATGCACAACAATTACATTTAGCTGTTGCTGGCAATGAAATGCTTGAGTCCCAGGCTCCCCTCTAGCCATGCTCAGAAATTACATAAGGAAAAAATAAAAATAGAATATAAAAATGAAATAGAATATATAAAATAACAATAAACCTTTTTTTCCCTGCAGAGGATGTGTAACCTTTGCGAGTGCACTCCCTGAGTTGCCGGCCAGTGTGAACTTTAATGCCAGTCAAGAGTAATAATCATTGTCCATTTCTAAGATGGACAAATATGATCCCTGTGATGTCAGTCCTGGCTCATTTAGAGTTTACAGTTGGTTACTGTAGCTGCAGGGTAATGTAATTTTTAATAATACAGCAAACACTGTTTGTCAGCAGCTACTGTGTCATACGAAGTTTGGCTAAATAAAGTACACGTTGCACTGATTCTTCTTCTGATAAAACAGACATGCAGCTTTAAATGTTTTCTTTTAAAGCCAGCAGGAGTCCATCATACCTTTGTTATAGCTGCTGACTCTGTTGTTTTCCTCACAGCTCCGCAGCTCTCTCGTTGTGCTACAACAAAACTTTGCCATGGTCAATCAGACGGCAGCGCCGCAGTGAGGCTCCTCACCCGATGACCACAGAACGCCAACCCCTGTCTACCCTGCTGAGGAAAGAAAAGACGGCAGCACCCAACTACCGCTGATGTTGCCATGAAGACGTCCCCAGACCCCCTGACATGCCATGTGTTGCCAGGGGTTACGCTAACCCTAAAGCCTGTGGTGGGGCGTCAGGTGCACGGATGTTTTTAAAGCTGCAGATTGACTGATGGGAGGACACGGTGACATCAGAGTCCACCGCAGGGGGAGCAGGGGGATTATTGTCGGTTGCAATCGCTGCCTCCGCTGCGACTCGTCTCCTACACGGTGGCAGTGGATCTCAGAAAACTTCCCTCAAGTGCCTGACTGTATTCTGACGAACCTCACACCACATCCGATGAACTGTTGTAAACGCAGCTGTTAAATAACATTGAATCACAATTTAAATTTTGCACATTTTTGAACATTTGCACAAGTGCCTCATAGACTATAGGCTATATTTTAAGGTATCTTTTTAGATTCTTATATTTTCAAATAATAATGGTAGTATCTGCAGCTCTAATTTTAAACTTTGTCTTCTCTTTTGTAATCATGAGATTTTTTGCTTTTTAAACTGCAGGGAATGCTGCAACTTTATATTAACTTTAGATTGCGAGTGGGAATATTCTTTAAATTTTACTGTGTATGAGCCAAATCTGGCAGAAAATGTAGCTGATGGACGGCCACGTATTTGATAGAAATTACTTTAATTTATAGCTCTGTTCTGGAGCCACAGTCCAAATGATGGTGATGTTTGATTTATCTCTGTCTTCTGTACATGAATAATCGCTTTGTCTGTATTTTTCTTTTTCTGTGTATGTAGGGTCAATGGGACGATCTCAGGTTATATCAGCACTGTACATTGACTCTGTCAACACATACGCAGTCTGTTCTGTGATTTCTACGTCGATATAAACACTGGTTGTTTTCTTACTTTATAATCACTTGTTGGTGACACACAAGTACAATTCTCTTGAGCCGTTTTTGATGTTTACAGTGTCGCCCAACTCCCTCTCTGGATAATTTTGCTCAACAGTTCTCATTTGAAACCACGTCTTAGCGCCACCACTTGTTTCTATGTTGTACAGTTTTAGATATATTACAATGCGCTGTTGTAATAAACATGATCTCTTACTCACTTGTGCTTCCAATATTTTTTGTAACAAACACTCTACCAGGGCTGAAATTATTCTTATTCTTATTATCGATTACGCTGCTAGTTACTTATTTGACAAATAGTTTGGTCTAG